TGTATGCTGAGCACATTTTTCATACAAATATAGGGGGACAAAAACAGATTGCATAATACATTTTAGAGTGAGATAATCACTGTTCAAAGGAAAGCTTTCAATTGAATTGAAAGCCAGTGATCTAATGGCAAATGTGTAACTTCATGGACAGTTATTGTCATGCTTTAGTTCAATGAATAATGACTAATAAACCCATCATTTTTGGAATGGATATTTTCAATATATTCTGAAATAAAAATATACATTTTTTATAATTTCTCTTTTGAACCTCAAAATTTAGGAAACATTAGGTTAAAACCATAAAAATAATGTATCAGTTATGCCATCAATCATAAAACTAAAGAATTTGAAGCTATTCCTTTTCATGTGCAAAATATTGTTTCCATTTCAAGGTATGGCATAAGCTGAAGCTTCTATAAAAATATTTATAGTAAAATACAGCATAAATCTGTAATTAGATTTAATCAGTTTAGAAAGATGCATCCAATACTTAGACACTGTAAAATTATTTAGAATCAGTCAGTTTTTACCTCAGTTACTGCTGAAGTAACAAAAAGTACGAGGTATTAGCCTTCTGTGAGCTAAATGACGTATCTGCTCTCATCGACGTAAAGCCCTGTAAATAACCTTCAGGTTGTTAGTCATTACTTAGCTCGCTCAGCATCCACAATGCTCATTTTAGCTCTTCCACATTAATGCATTATGCACAGAGTACTTTAAATAACCATTAACAACAAGATGCATTTTAAGCAATATAAGGAAGAGTTACAGGAAATAATTTTGACTTCCCATGTAAAAATTTTCTTTGAATTCCCTCCACTGAATGTACAAACCCCTCCAAAGGAAGTGAAAAGTCTTTAGTGGATTGTCTTGGTACTGATCAGCAAAGCAGAACTCAGTATCTAATATAAGCTGCTCCCTGGGCCATGGGTGTAGTAAAGCATCATGCAAGGTATGAAGTCACACTGTCATTTTCATCTTTCTTCTTTCAGTTGGCAGTCACATTGGCTTCCTTTTGACGTAGTCTCTCTTTCTGTTACAGAAAAAGAAAGAGTTCATTATCATTCTTGTCTATAATTTTCCATCTCCTCTCAAGTTGGCATGAGCATTGGTCTAGAAGTCTGAGAAGCACTAAATGAGTCACAGTACATTAGAGTTTTCTTTAATTAAAAAAAAAAGAATAAGTAATAATGCCTGGAGCACACAGGGAAGGCTCAGAACCAGTTCATTACCTACAGTAGAGAAACTGAAATTTCTTTAGCTACACAACTGTCAAATAGTGTGCACCTTTTAAAATATGCAGCTCTGTGAAGACCAGCATAGCTACAGAAAACCAGACACATTTCAAATTCATGTGAACCTAGTACCTTCTCTTGTCTGGAATGGTTGCTGAAATAAAGGCTCAGATTTAGCATTTGCTAGATTATGTTGTTTAATGACCTCTTCCCAAGAAAGAGTAGTCATTCATATCTCTGCCACCTGTCCTGCAACTGATATGCTCTGCTGGGAATGGAAAGGATATACTGATTCCTTCAGGTGCATCTCCCTCCCTTAGTCTCTTTCCTCCTGCAGTTTGAGAAATACTGATCTAACCTATGTGTCTTTCACATAGACAAAAAAGGTTTTATCTACAGGTTAAATTATTAGTCCTCTTTTTTTTGTGTCATATAAAAAAACCTTGGGAAGCAGCAAGGAACAAAATGAGGATTTAATCCCCTCTACCATTATTAGCTTTTGAAAAAAAAAACAGGACACCCAGGCACTGGACAAATGTATACAGCCTCTACAGAGCATGGAAGAAAATAGAGGAGTCTTCAGTGAAAGCCAGGGAGAAACCAGAAAAGCAGCTCTTATCACATTTTGTTATCTAAAATAGCAGAGCCATGCTTAGACACAACTAAACTGTCTTAAATTTAACTGTTGGACTACCATAGTGCATAATCTTAAAGATTTCTCCTTGGGAAGAAAATCCCTCTACTACACTCAATCTAAGCATACTACGCCACACTTCAACAGCAGCAGAAATGTGCCGTCACTGAATGACAAGAATAGTGTCCCAAAACCCCTTCTGAATGTCATACTGAGAAACACATCATACCAGGCTGGCTGTAGGATTGATTTTCTTTGTTTCAACTTTCTTCTCTCCAGTTAACTTGCTTACTGATTGCTGGGCTACTTTAATTCTGAAACAAAATATAAAGAAAAGGCATCATTAGATTCAAAGAAACGAAAGCTGTTCCAGTTCTGCTTGGTATATGCTCAATCTGTAAGAAGTGTCACCCTCACTCTTTTTAGGCACATTAGCCCAAAAACCTGCACTTAATAAAGTACTAAAAGTAGATCAGAGCACATTTTTAAATAGAGAAAAATCAAAAGCAAAAGGACAGTCTGCCTGTATCGCTCACTGAAAATGTCATCAGGCAAATTATTTCTCTGTTCTTGCAGGATCTGGCTTTTACAGAGCATCTTGCCCACTAAAAAAGCTGCAAGATACTGCTCTGAAAAAACCCAAAAGCTAGCTGGCTCAATCTGTTGTATATATTGAATATACTATTTTAGTAGGCCATTTGCCAGGCTACACATTATATTTCCTCTGAAAACCTTGAAATGAAAGCATCTGTCATTGCTTTACATAGAATTGACTGACTACTCCTTGATGTGGTGATAGGAGGAGAGGCAAATTAGAAGGGGTTCTTGTCTAGGGGTTGTTAAAACTGTCTTGTGTCCAGCTACAGACCAGTTTACTAAAAGCACTATTGAGATAAGGCGAAAGACGAACACAGAGCTGATTCCTCAGTTTCTTGCCTTTTGCTCTTATCTTGTATACAAAACCCTTGTTTCTGTGGGGCTTTACACAATCAGAAGTATAATCAGGAGGAAAAGGAGAAACAGAATTTAACAAAAAGGGACTTGACGCTCCTCTTACAGACAGTGGAAAGGGCAGGGGAAATTATGTGCTAAACAGTGATAAAAAGCAAAGAAAATTCTTGGCACTCCTAAGACAGGATCTGCCCAGCTATCAATGCCTTTAAAATTCTGATGCTATAAACACCTACTTTACACTTCTATATGCAAAATGCAGAAGGAAAGAAGTTGTAAGTGAATTTTGACAAGCAAAGAGAACTCAGCAAACCAATTTTCACTAATGTGCACCAAATCAGCCTTTCACTATAAACACCACATTTCTTGGCACTCTTGAACTGAAAATTTCTACTTTCGTCTCCTATTTAATTTTTTCCACTGGCAGAAATAATTGCTATGGCCAGTCAAAAAGTATTTAAAATACCATGTCCAGTTCAAACCACTTTTGACACACTCATTTTTTGAGGAATTTTGGATGAAAAGCAAAAAGGAAAGTGGATTATAGCTGCAATTACTTCCTTGCTGTAATACTAGCAGCAAAATAGATTGTTTTAAAAATATGGAACACATTCGTAAGTTCATTGTTGTGTTTATCAACGCTCAGTGTTGGAAGCTAAAGTTCCTGCTCAGAGCTATGGTTTTTAGAAGCATCAACTGGGTAGTTATTGGTGTTTTTCACTTTCCAGTGCTTAAGAACAGGAAGATACAAGCTGCTCCACTACTTTCATGTAAACTTATATTCAACACTGTTTCACTACAACATTGTTTCAAGCTGTAAGTACACCCTCAAATACACAAATATAAAATTATTATTCTGTACATTAAAAAAAAAGAATCTGAAGTAATTTTAACATTTGGTGTTCCCTGTTTCTATAGATGAACAACTAAGTGGCAACACACCATTCCATCTTGTTTTGTTAATCAGCACAGTTTACTTCTTCATGATGGATGATAGCAGCCACTGGACAGCATGCTATTCCTCACAGCTACAAAGTTTATGTGAGGATGGTGATCTATTTCAAGTGACAAAAATTCAGAAGGATCACACCCAGGGATCAACTTCTGAACTCTTTCCTGTTTTGAGCAGATTTTCATTTCAGTTACATTCTCTTTGGTCCTAGGAGTGTTTTCTGAATAGTTTTTAAATGTTTAGAGTCCACATTTTCATCTGAAGGGAGAATTCTAGGGATTACAAAATTTTGGACTTAAAAAGAAAATTATGCCTGTTACTGATTTAGCTCTGTGTATTTTATTCCATATTTGCACAATTTCCAGGAAACCTGGATTTTTAAAAATAGAGTGCATAGTTTGGAATACAAAATGCAATTAAACCATCTCACTAACATGATTTGAATTGTGATATTTGGCTCATAAAAATGGCAGACTAATTCTATATTATGCTTTGGTCTCCTAGGGAAAGCAGACATCACTTTGCCAATATATGACTGATAAGATGAGCAGGCATTATCAGAAATGTAAAGAGGAGTAATTTAAGATAATTTAATTAACAGTAATTTAAGAGGAAATAATTTCCCATTTATATAAATCATGTAATACAATAAGTGCTTGAAAAGTTTTTCATTAAAAAACTGAAAGTTAGGAGTATTTTAAAATTAGAAGTAAAATTAGAGATGAGTAAGGTGCAGAAAGAAGAGAATTACAAACAAAGTACATTGAAAAGGACAGAACTGAACTACTAATTATCTTCTGATCTTTTCTTAGACCCATCAATTATGTTATTAACCAATTTGCAGATATACCAGACAACATACTATTATTTTTAGTTAACTTAAAATAAACTATTAAATGTATTATAAAGTTAAGGCATTATTGTAGTCTGTGAGAATTTATATAGCTGTGAATTGTTTAACATCTTCTTATAAAAGTATAAACTTCCTTGACTATTTTTAGTTGTTCAGCAATTACTTGTTCAAAGTCTGTTTGAAGTAAAACAATAGCTAAGAGACAGAATGTCAAAATGTAAGGTAAATCTCCAACCATCTCCAAGCGTGTCAAGGAAACGAGGATTATCAGGAATAATCTGAAAGCCTTTTACGATGGTGTAACTGAATGGATTGATGAGGGGAGGGCAGTGGATGTGGTCTACCTTGACTTTACCAAGGCTTTCAATACAATCTCCCGTGACATCTTCACAGCCAAACTTATGAAGTGTGGGTTGGATGACTGGACAGTGAGGTGGATGGGGAACTGGCTGGAGGGCAGAACTCAGAGAGTTGTGGTCAGTGGGACAGTCTAGTTGGAGGTCCCTGTCTCATGGTGTTCCTCAGGGGTTGATACTGGGTCCAGCCCTGTTCAATGTATTCATCAGTGATCTGGACGGTGGGACAGAGTGTACCTTCAGCAAGTTTGCTGATGACACAAAGCTGGAAGGAGTGGCTGACACACCAGAAGGCTGTGCTGCCATTCAGCATGACCTGGACAGGCTGGAAAATTGGGCAGGGAGAAGCTTAATGAAATTCAACAAGGGCAAGTGTAGAGTCTTGCATCTGGGGAAGAACAATCCCATGTATCAGTACAGGTTGGGGGTTAACCTGATGGAGAACAGCTCAGGGGAAAAGGACCTGTGAGTCTTGGTGGACAGCAGCTGACCATGAGCCAGCAACGTGCCCTTACAGCCAAGGTGGTCAATGGTGTCCTGGGGTGCATTAAGAAGAGTGTGGCCAGTAGGCTGAGGGAGGTTATTCTCTCACTCTACCCTAGTGAGGCCACATCTGGAATACTGTGTCCAGTTCTGGGCTCCTCAATTCAAGAAAGACAAGGAACTACTGAAGAGAGTCCAGCAGAGGGCTACAAAGATGATGAAGGGACTGGAGCATTTCTCTTAGAAGAAAAGGCTGAGAGACCTGGGTCTGTTCAGGCTGGAGAAGAGAAGACCGAGAGGGGACCTTATCAATGCTTATGAATATCTAAAGTGCTGGTGTCAAGAGGATGGGGCTAGGCTCTTTTCAGTGATGCCCAGTGACAGGACAAGGGGCAATGCGTACAAACTGGATCACAGGAAGTTCAAACTAAAAATGAGGAAATACTACTGTACACTGAGGGCAACAAAAGCACTGGAAACAGGCTGCCCAGAGAGGTTGTGGAGTCTCCTTCTCTGGAGACATTCAAAACCCGCCTGGATGTTTCCTGTGTGATCTTCTCTAGGTGATCCTGCTCTAGCAGGAGAGTTGGACTGGATGATCTTCACAGGTCCCTGTCATTCTGTGATTCTGATTCTGTGAAATAAATATTCTGTTGAATTTCCCTTCCTCCTTGTGAGTAACTACAGTTAGATGATAATGCAGATGACCAATTTTAATATTTATACTTAATCAGAGGGAAGAGAGAAGAATTTGAGAAAATGGAAAATCCACTTAAGACTTGTGTTCAGTGCAAGGGCCAACAAAACATCTAAAGACGACTTTGAAAAACATTACTAAAACATTTACTTTTTTTAAGATGTACTAGACTACGCAGTGTCTTAATGACACTGCTTGAGGGGTGAGATTTACAAATGATGGGCTTAAAATGTTTACTCACTTCATCTTTTTACTTAAGCTTGTTCATTACTTAAGTGTTACATGAGACACCAAACAGAAGGTGGGAGAGGATGCAGCATCGTACATGGTCAAAGGGTTCCCTAGAGAGGCAGGGATAAGATAGTACATTAACCAGCTGCAAAAATAATAGGGACTGATAAGTTCTTCAATTTTGGGAAGTTCAGGTAACATGCATTCTGACAAGAATCTCCTCCTCCTTTAAACTGAAGAAACAATAGCAGAATCAAGCCCTGAGACAGAGCACCACAATTTACAACTTGCAGGTGTAGGCTGCACAACATGAACTAAGCATCCCACCAACCACTCTACGGTCACTAGGTATGACCATGAAGGGTAGTTTGGAGATGTGCAATGGAATGGACTCAATGAAAAGATATTTTTTTCTTCCTGTATCAGTATAAAATAGCATGGATGGACACACTAGTCTAGCCATGTTTTAGGGTTTTCATGGAAGAGAAATTGGGACTGAATCTAACAGGTGTAAAATCAAGGATGAAGAAAGGAGAATAGAAAAGTCAATGGAAGTATATTTAAAACAAAATCAAGAAAGGACAGAAGTGTATAGTAAAACACACTAGAAAAATAGCGACAAGGACATTTTTGAACAGAGACCACTGCAGAGGACAAAGAGACCAGAAAGGATGGTAGAACAGCTGAACCACAACACAAAGAGAAAAGATGTGCAGGTGCTAATGGAGCAAACAATAACATGAGGCCAAAAAATTAAGGAATGCAGGTCTGTTAAGCCTTGAAATCTGACC